ACGAATCATCAGTATATAGCATTGATTCAACTGTCCTTCAGTTCCTCCAGGCACAGCTGATGAATGCATTTTTTTCTTTGTCATTTAATATCCTCCCAATCTGTTTCTTTGAACTTCTCAAAGAGACACAACTTAACTTAAATCCTTCCTCTCTATCTGACAGTGTTTATTTTGATGTATCTACCCTTGCTGAGTCATTATGTGAGGACAATTTCCACTGACCATGAGTCTAGTATATGTTGTTAATACATTAGTAGTAGGCCATGCACCATTTGCAGTACTGCGTCAGTGATCAATTTGAAACATCACTCTCTTCTAGTCAGTACACAGTATTTTTCCACAGTCAGCTTTTGCCCCCCACTGTGTTGCCCTGTTGCGACTTAATGTACCTTTACCTTTCCCTCGCCCTTCTCTCTAATGAAGATCTGTAAGTGACGCAGTTCTGTATTGTTGTGCGCAGAGAAAACAATACACACAAGGAGTTAATGGTTCTCAGAAACCATGGAAACGGCACTAGTACAGTACACCCAAGGTGACATTTAATGCTGCTTAAATAATAAAAATGTATTGAAATAGACCAGCAGTAACTTGTTGCCCTAGCAACTACAAAAGGATAATCAATAACACCAGAGGCAGTAAACATGCTGTATGCTCTATGCTATGCTGTGCAACCTATTGTCCTTTTTCACTAAGGACTCAATACAGCTGGTACCTAAGATCTTTAGTCTTAAAGTGAACTCAACTGTCTTTAAAAGGGGCCCTATTATACTTTTGGGGGTTTTCCCTTTCCCGTAGGCTGTTTTTGAGGTTTTAATTCATGTAGGTGGTCTGCAAAGGCTAAAGTCCCAAAGTTCTCTAAAACACACTTCCCCCCCCCTGCCTCCACACGCCATTTGTTTACTTCCATAACATAGTGACATGATGTCGTAATGTAACACTCGCTCTTTTTGACTAGCTCTCCAACACATTGTTCGTGATAGGCTAAGGCAGTGGTTCTCAAACTTTTTCTGTCATTCCCCACTTTGAACAGGTGGGCCTTTTCAAGCCCCACCTGTTCCTCATCGCTCCAATAAAATGGTAGGCCAAGCTTAAAATTGTCAAATGTATCGTTCTATAACAGGGGTCTCCAACCTTTTTTAGGATGAGAGCTACTTTCAAAAAATAAAACAAGTCGTGAGCTACTTTTACTCCTCTTTTTAGTTTTTTTGCAGTGTATATATTAACACATTTTAACATTATTATATGCTACCTTTAACCTTTGTGTGCTGTTTGGGTCTGTGAGACCCGTTTTCAGTGTTTACTAAAATAAAATGTATGCAATTTAATTATTTTAACCTGCTTTATTTGGTGGTGGACGTCACATCCTATAGGGGGGTCCGGGGGAAGATTTTTTTTAAATGTCGAAGTTAAATGCAGTTAAATGGTGCACTTTGAGCTAGGGCTGCTCAATTAATCGTATTTTAATCGCAATTACGATTTTGGCTTTGCAACCGGATTTAAAGAAAACAAACATAATCGAAATAAACGATATTTAATATTTTAATTAAATAGGTTTTTCCAGTGAATTATACTTACACGTTCAGGTAGATCAACTGTTAAAAACATATTTTCAAAATTATATTTTTAATTATGTTTTCAAAGTAAATGGTTTAATCGTTTTTTAATAATCACGTGATATTAATATTGGACCCAAATAATCCGAGATTATGAATTTTTGGCCATAATCAGAGCAGCCCTACTTTTGAGCACAACATGAATTTATGGTACAGCTTCTCAACACTCAGATGAACGGGAGCTGTATAACTTTTCAATAATCCAAACATCTTTAAGAATAATGATCACAACAAATCATTTAAACTTGTCTTATTCTTATCCGTTAATGTTTACCTAAGTTAGCATTCTTCTTTTTTTTATGGCTACTAACTCCTCCCCTTTTAAACTTTTTACTGGTCCTATAGTACACATTGGAATGATTTTCTTACTTATTTTTTACAACTTTATTAAATAGATACAAGGTTCCTCTCTCTCTTCTCCTCTCTCTGTGCCTCTCTCCACTTCTTCTCCCCTCTCTCTTCTTCTCCCTCTCTATCGTCTCTCTCATTCTCTCTCTTCTCTCTCTTCTCTCTTCTCCTCTCTCTCTTCTTCTCTTCCTCTTTCTCCCTTGGTATGGGGTGGGGAGAGAAGGTAGAAGCCAGAGGCTGCAGAAACAGCCGAGCCTTCTCCCTCTTAATCACACCCCGCATTTTGTCATAAGCACAGGGCAGGTCCCTGTCAACTCCTCCTTATTTCCTCCGGAGACCAGTGGACATGGCAGCATCCCATTCGCCCTGTTTGTCCATATCGTTAAATTGGGCTTCAATTAATGTACTGCACAACATCATACTGTAAAATGAGCTAGGTAACTGTACTGCAAAAAACACATTTGTTATTTTCCAAAAGCCTGGAAAAAACACTTCCGTCATGCCTGCAAATATCCATTCGTCTGTTTATTTCCATATTCAGGCAAATATACATATCTTTTGTCCGCTTCCAGAGCACCCGCAGTTTTGGATGAACCGACCGCCAAGAGCACTGGACATGACCACGTGGGAGGAGCCTCCGATGGGCGGGTCAATTACTGATACCGCAGCTGGCTGGACACTAGCCGTAGAAGAACACCGGCGGGAACCAGGCAAATGTCCCTTCTTAAGACAAGCATATATGCGCTCCAGGCATTACGCCCGCATAACTCTTTGTCCGCCCTCCAGGCACCCGCAGGCTCTGATGAACCGACCGCCAAGCACGGAACAATGGACCGGGGCAGGAGGCCCCCCGATGGCGGGTCAAATTACTGATACCTGCAGCTGGCTGGACACTAGCCGTAGAAGAACACCCCGGGCGGGACCAGGCATGTTCCACTCTTTAAAGNTTTCCATGCTTTAATGTTCAAAAAGCTCTTTATTTGTCTCATACTGTCTGTGCTGCAGCACCTCTTTTCACCCTCTGTCCGAAACCAGAGCCCAGTCTGCTCTGATTGGTTAGCTGACTGGCTCTGTTGTGTTTGGTCAACTGCTTAGAGATGTCCCGTCCCTTAGCCTATCACGTACAATGAGTTGGAGCGATAGCCAATAGAAGCGCAGGTATTACGTAGTGATGTCACTAGGCGTTTCAGGAGGTGGAATGTGTGGGACAGAAATTCCCTCTGGAGGGAACATTAGGATTTGTAGCCTTTGCAGACCATGTACACGCACACACACCTATAGAACACACTACAGGAGAGTGTTGACTAGCTTACCTAACAGCTTTTCCCCCTTTGAGTCGCCAGTAAGCCTTAAAGCAACACATATTTGTATTTCAACAATGTCAACAGTATTTGTCTGTCATTTTTTACTTGGTCAGCAGTTTTCAACAGAAAAGCTCAAAATTGGCGAATGTTTTCATAGACCTCTGCATACTTTATTTAGTGACATTATGTCGGTGTCGTGTTAGGTTTCAGCATGTTTTTTTTTGGTTGTTGTGTTTTTTCCTGTTGTTTGCTCTTTTTACCCCTCACTACTCTGTTTCTCCTTCTCTGCAGGGCTGGTGTGTGACAGGGGGGCGTTGCTGGTATTCTCCTGGCTGCAGATGAGGCACACCTGTTCCCACTCACCTAATCAACCCTCTCTTTAAGAGCCTGGCCCTCACCTCACTACTCTGCCAGAGAATTAAATGCTGTTCGACAATCCAGAGTGACTCTCTGCAGCCCAAGCCTAGTTTTGTTCACATTGCAGTTTTTGAGCAACTTTTTGAGTTTTTGCCTGGGATGTTTTCCTTCTGCTTTGTTTTGGAAATTTCTGCAACCAGCCAGCTCCCTATCTGCCTTAGCCTAGCTTTCTTTTTTAAAACACCTTGAAACTTAACTTGTGTCAGTCTCTGCTTTGGGGTCCTAAGTAGTATCTAAACGCCACAGTCGTGTATTTTAACCTTTTTTTGTTTAACTAAAGTCGTTGTTTATTTTATTGATTTTTTTTCATGCGTAAGTATTAATATATATTTTCTTTTTTGTTACAAAGTTTTGATTTACTGTTGCCCAAGCTGAAAATGCCCCTTGCTGACAATAAAGTATTTTCATCCTGGTATCATATACTGTTTTGTTGCTAATGTTTATCTCCTTAAATCTGCAAATGGATTGTTATCTTTAGTGGAATTTAATCCAGATAAAATCCTTAAATTTCATTACAATAAATTGCATTGCCTATGTTTGAGTCTTCTATGTGACTGCATATATTCTACACATTGTGATGTGCATGATTTTGTAACATATCAGTTAGCTCTACAGAATATATTAACATCTAAAAAAAAAGATCAATCTTTCATCAGAAATATAGACAATGATTTTAAGAACTAGTTTTTGTGCTTTTTTCTGGCCGTATTGAAGTGTGTCGTTTGCTGCATCATTACCTTGTGGCTGATCTGGAGCCTTGCTCTGCAGCCCCTGCATACAAGCGTCTTCCTCCTTGCCCCAGCAGCCGGTGTCCACAGTGCATACCTGCGCTCGCTGACAAGTACTAACTCACTCTTCCTGCAGGCCCTGGCAGAGGAACGCACAGCAATCATAACAATCACAAGGTGAGAGAGAAGAAAAGGGAGGGAAAGAGAGAGTGTGTATTAAAGAAAATAAGGGTAAAAAAATTGATAGAAAGACGAGAGCGTGCAGGATAGGGTGAAGAAAGGGTGAGGAGGATGAGAGGAGGGAAGCTAAAATTTAAAGTCAGGAGTTGCCCGAGGCTACAGCTATTGGTGTAGTTAGTGAGGGGAGGAGAGAGAGGAAGAGAGAAATCCTCAGCGAACACCTGTCTGTGTCTGACTCCTAATAAATCAGCGTCCTCTTTACCTGTCTGCAGGTCTCTTTGGATGGCTGTTTGGGAGAAAAAATAGTCGAGATGGTTCAGCTTTGACATTTAGTTCCTCCCTACAGCAAAGTGAGAACAGCTGACACATCAGCATTCTTTTCAGAATCCCACGCTGAGGAGGCATATGCATTCATCAAACTACATTTATTTTGGTCTAAAAGGTCCTAAATGCAAAACAGCTAACACACAAAATATTTCCTACATCGAGGTACTATTCCACTCCTTTTTACAGTGTGTTACAGTAGCAAATTCTCCCAATGCAACTCTGAAGAACGTTCAAGTAGAAAAAACAAACATGCTCATCTTCCGAAGACAGCAAACATGTACCGTATACGTGTATTTACATTGCATTGTATCATCAAGGTCTAGATATTTGCATGAGTTCTTCATCAGATCGAAGACAACAGATAATGTTTGTTAATAACAGTTTACAATCAGAGTCTAAAAAAAAACTGGGAAAAAGATTTGTTTTTTGCCCTCTTACAGTATTATCTTAAGGGATAAAAGGTAGTGTGCACATAACAAAACAACCAAAATGAACTTAAAGGGGCACCCCTGAATTTTAACATTTAATCAGAATTTGTGAAGTCTGAGGAAATAACGTTGATGATTTCATTGGGTTTGAGATCTTATTTTTAAGCAGCGAGGGGCTAATCAATCTGTAAATATTTGTTTTTTATAATATCCTCAATGAGTATTTTTGATACTACAGGTTAATATAATGCCAAAAAGGTCAGTTATGCAGTATTATTGCTTAAAAGATCATGATAATTTTATGAGAGTTTCTATGCAGCCAGCGTTTTTTGAAGTTTGATCCCCACCAGGACTCTGTCAGTATTTGCTTCATTGCACCAACTTCACTTAAGTCACAGGAGTGCCCCTTTAAAAAGAAACTTAACAGCAGGCTGAGCAGCAGTGTTCAACTGATCTCTATTGTTGACCTTTGACTACTCTTGAATTTCATAAAAAAACATAGAACATCCATGTGTTATTATTGGCTCTACACCTGTGACACACATTGCTGCATGTAGGTGTTAGTGATTTTTTAACTGGACCCAAGACAACTTCATATAGCATCAACAATTCATGCTGCAACTTTGGTTAGCTACTAAAAACACAACTAATCACAGCACTGGCTGCTTTTCATTTTCATTTCATTAGACAGTATTTTTTAATTTCTGTCATGACAAAAAACAGAGATGGGTGAAGGATTCAGCAAATAACGCTTTTTTAGTTCCATTCTCATAGGGTCTGCTCAGGCTAGGGCCCAGTCACTGCAGGGTCATAACCTAAGTACAAGTATGTATCGGTATTTCATTTTTTGTATACACCTAGTATGAATACAAGTCTTACAATTTTAGTGAGTTGACCTGAAAACGTACTTTAGGGTTAGTTCAGCCTCCGTTACACACCAGCTAATCATCATTTTTGTGCAACGGTAAACACATTGGTGAAGAAAAAAGTAACATTCCAGTGCAGAGACAGTATTCCACTCAGGGAAAAAGTTCACTCTTGTTATCCCAGATGGGAACAAGTGTCTTCAATTACTCCAATATCCCCTCCAACCACTGGTTTCCCACATGGTAGACCTAACTCATGTTTCCAAAGGACGCGTCGCTTCCTTCAGGGGTGCAGTGCAGTATAGTTTGTTTTGGACAGGGAGGAAACGGGGAAGGAGCAGAGAGACGGAAGAGAGAAATTAGTTCTGTCTGATAGACTTATACAAAAAAAGCAGAAACCTAATCGTTGCAACATGCTACTAAATCACAGCGGGCTGCTACTTATTTTATATTGAGGGACTGGGCAATAAGTGATATCGTTTAAATTAGTTTAGTTTTAAAGTAATTGGTAAATATGGTGATTTATTTTCTGTCTGAGAATGACACAATAATATTTATTTCAATCTCATGTCTGTGTTAAGTATGGAGTTCGAGTCTGGAGGCGATTAGCTTAGCATAGCATAACTGCTAGCTTAGCTCAGTGCAATGTTAAAAATGCACCTGTAAAGCAAACTTCTTTTTTAGGGTTAGCCTACAAATAATCAAATAATGACACATTCTCAGTTTCAGTCAGTACATCGATACAAGCCAAGTTCAAGTGTAGGATAAGAAGACATGCGGTCAAGCCATAATGATAACAAAATAATACTTATAATAAAAACTTGAACATTCTCTGACATTACAAAGTCATACATTCGTGAAGAAACTCAGAAATGATCTGAGATTAAAGAACATATAAAAAAGAAATTATTTAGGTTTTTATGAATTACTCAACTTAACGTGTTAAAAACTTTTATCCATCTTAACATTCCACTGTAATTATTTAAATAATGCCATTGTTCTTCAGAATTCCATTTACTTACGTGTATACTCACCTTCTCATCCAGCAACATTCACTACATGAGGCACATGACAACAGCATGGGTCAGAGCACAGGGACGCACACACACACACACACACACACACACACACACACACACACACACACACACACACACACACACACACACACACACACACACACACACACACACACACACACACACAGATGACAATACAATCTGTGTATGTGACTGTATTCTTAACGGACAAAAAGTCAATGTAAAGGCTGTGTTCCTCGTGTGGAAAATGTGGAAACGTATTACTGTTTAGTTCCTGCTTGAATGAATCCCTTTTTGTGTTACTGCTGTTTTGAGGTTAAACATTAACAGAAGTGTTAAAAGAGGATATTGTAAACAATGCAAACAGCCCTTGAGAGGTCTTTGGAAGTAATTAAATTCATCTGACATTATCTGGCTCTGGTCCCACAGAAATTACCATTGATTATCATGTTGCGTGCAGTGTTGCAAGTTTATGCCAGTAAGTCAAGCCGCGGGTGCTTTGTAAATGCTCCTTTGAGTTTTGTGTGTGTGCGAGTGGGTGAGCTTTTAAAAAGTCTTAAAATCTGGAATTTATTTATGAAAACATAAGAAATAAGAACCAGGTTTTACAATCTATGTAACCTGTGAACTCTTGTTTCATTGATCACCTGGGTGAGACTGAATGAGACAACAAGGAACTGCGTGACATCAAACATGTATATTGTGATTGTGATATGTTGTTCAGATATCAAAAAGCTAATAAGGAAACTAAGTGAGTGTTACTATAAATAGAAACAGCACAAGGAAGTGTGTATTATTAACAATAACAAGGACATTATATGTGTTTATTCAGAATAAATTATAAAAGTTAGGAAAACCTTGATATATTTGTTTGATATATTACTTTTACTACTATTATCTCTGCATATAATTGAACTCAAACACTCAAATTCTCTTATATATGAAGTACACCCTCATCAAAACATTTGAGGATTAGCTTTCTCTTACAAACACAGAGCAAGAGACTCTTGCTGTATGAATGAGTATGTGCTGCATTGTGTGTGTGTGTGTGCGTGTGTGTGTGTGTGCGTGCGTGCGTGCGCGCGCGTGTGCGTGTGTGTGTGTGTTTGTGTGTCCCATGTTCTACTGACCTGGGCTGGAGCTGCCTGGAGAGGCGGGGGCGGCCCCTCGGCCACGACTCACCAGCAGAGCCTCCTGATTTTCGGCCAGAGCCTGCTTGGCCAGGTAGCGCTCCCTCTTGATCTTCAGCTTAAGGGATCCCGGGACATCAGGAACGATCCAGTCGATGGCGCGCAGCACAAAGAATACCACGTGCTGGAGGAGGCAGGACGTGCAGACAGTGAGATGTTAAAGGATCATTATCAGAGTAAAATGAAAACAGCCTGTCCTGTTCGAAAATCTGAAGATAGAACTTACTTATAAATAAAATGAAAACAGTATGTTCTCCTCTCTCCTCAAAACTGCTTCCTTCGTCCTGGCCTGACATGACGTCCAATTACTTTTTTTTTTAACAAATTGTCATCATTCCATGGTATTTTTTAACTTTACCCTCGGTTTTTCATTTGCTTTTAGTTCAATCAGAGGCTCGCCCATAGCTTGTGTAAAGTCCTCTTTTTAAAGGGGCCTTATTATGTTATTTAGGGTTCTCCCTTTCCTGAACTGTTTGATATAGGTTTTTGTGCATGTAAATTGTCTGCAAAAGCTAAAATTCGCGCCAGAGGGAGTTTCTCTCCCACACACTCACCCTGCCTGAAAGGCCTCCATAGGACTCCTTTGTTTACTTCCGTAACATAGTGACTAACTACGTAACACTCATGCTTCTATTGGCTGGCGCTCCAACACATTGTACGTGAGAGGCTAAGGGGAGGGACATCTCTAAGAGGTTGGCCAATCACAACAGAGCTTGCCAGCTAACCAGAGCAGACTGGGTTCTGGTTTCAGACAGAGGGTGAAAAGAGGTGCTGCAGCAGAGGCAGTATGAGAAAAATAAAGCACTTTGTGAACATTAAAGTATGAAAACATGTCACAGTAGAGGGACAACATATAAATATCAGCCTGAAAATGAGCATAATAGGCAGGGGTGCACATAACTTTTTTGCCCTGGTTCTCAAAGGAGCACCTGGAGATGTTGCTTGATGCGCATCCTTA